AAACAATTTTTACAAAAAAAAAAATTATTTTCCTGAGTGCTAGCTTAAAAATTGTTGAGCATGAGAAATTCTTTTTTCCCTCTAATTCTTAGCTTATGCTTATGATTGGTATTGAATATTAAACGATTGTTAATAAACAATTCATTAATAAATAAACAATTTTTACAAAAAAAAAAATTTATTTCCTGCGTGCTAGCTTAAAAATTGTTGTGCATCAAAAATTCTTTTTTCCCTCTAATTCTAAACTTATGCTTATGATTGGTAGTAAAAGTTCAACGATTGTTAATAAACAATTAATAAATAAATAAACAATTTTTACAAAAAAAAATATTATTTTCCTGAGTGCTAGCTTAAAAATTGTTGTGCATCAAAAATTCTTTTTTCCCTCTAATTCTAAACTTATGCTTATGATTGGTAGTAAAAGTTCAACGATTGTTAATAAACAATTCATAAATAAATAAACAATTTTTTCAAAAAAAAATTATTTTCCTGAGTGCTAGCTTAAAAATTGTTGAGCATCAAAAATTCTTTTTTCCCTCTAATTCTAAACTTATGCTGATGATTGGTAGTAAAAATTCAACGATTGTTAATAAACAATTCATAAATAAATAAACAATTTTTACAAAAAAAAAAATTTATTTCCTGCGTGCTAGCTTAAAAATTGTTGTGCATCAAAAATTCTTTTTTCCCTCTAATTCTAAACTTATGCTTATGATTGGTAGTAAAAGTTCAACGATTGTTAATAAACAATTCATAAATAAATAAACAATTTTTTCAAAAAAAAATTATTTTCCTGCCTGCTAGCTTAAAAATTGTTGTGCATGAGAAATTCTTTTTTCCCTCTAATTCTTAGCTTATGCTTATGATTGGTATTGAATATTAAACGATTGTTAATAAACAATTCATAAATAAATAAACAGTTTTTACAAAAAAAAAAATTTATTTCCTGCGTGCTAGCTTAAAAATTGTTGTGCATCAAAAATTCTTTTTTCCCTCTAATTCTAAACTTATGCTTATGATTGGTAGTAAAAGTTCAACGATTGTTAATAAACAATTAATAAATAAATAAACAATTTTTACAAAAAAAAAAATTATTTTCCTGAGTGCTAGCTTAAAAATTGTTGTGCATCAAAAATTCTTTTTTCCCTCTAATTCTAAACTCATGCTGATGATTGGTAGTAAAAATTCAACGATTGTTAATAAACAATTCATAAATAAATAAACAATTTTTACAAAAAAAAAAATTTATTTCCTGCCTGCTAGCTTAAAAATTGTTGTGCATGAGAAATTCTTTTTTCCCTCTAATTCTTAGCTTATGCTTATGATTGGTATTGAATATTAAACGATTGTTAATAAACAATTCATAAATAAATAAACAGTTTTTACAAAAAAAAAATTTATTTCCTGCGTGCTAGCTTAAAAATTGTTGTGCATCAAAAATTCTTTTTTCCCTCTAATTCCAAACTTATGCTTATGATTGGTAGTAAAAGTTCAACGATTGTTAATAAACAATTAATAAATAAATAAACAATTTTTACAAAAAAAAAAATTATTTTCCTGAGTGCTAGCTTAAAAATTGTTGTGCATCAAAAATTCTTTTTTCCCTCTAATTCTAAACTCATGCTGATGATTGGTAGTAAAAATTCAACGATTGTTAATAAACAATTCATAAATAAATAAACAATTTTTACAAAAAAAAAAATTTATTTCCTGCCTGCTAGCTTAAAAATTGTTGTGCATGAGAAATTCTTTTTTTCCTCTAATTCTTAGCTTATTCTTATGATTGGTATTGAATATTAAACGATTGTTAATAAACAATTCATAAATAAATAAACAATTTTTACAAAAAAAAAAATTATTTTCCTGAGTGCTAGCTTAAAAATTGTTGAGCATGAGAAATTCTTTTTTCCCTCTAATTCTTAGCTTATGCTTATGATTGGTATTGAATATTAAACGATTGTTAATAAACAATTCATTAATAAATAAACAATTTTTACAAAAAAAAAAATTTATTTCCTGCGTGCTAGCTTAAAAATTGTTGTGCATCAAAAATTCTTTTTTCCCTCTAATTCTAAACTTATGCTTATGATTGGTAGTAAAAATTCAACGATTGTTAATAAACAATTCATAAATAAATAAACAATTTTTACAAAAAAAAAAATTTATTTCCTGCCTGCTAGCTTAAAAATTGTTGTGCATGAGAAATTCTTTTTTCCCTCTAATTCTTAGCTTATGCTTATGATTGGTATTGAATATTAAACGATTGTTAATAAACAATTCATAAATAAATAAACAGTTTTTACAAAAAAAAAAATTTATTTCCTGCGTGCTAGCTTAAAAATTGTTGTGCATCAAAAATTCTTTTTTCCCTCTAATTCTAAACTTATGCTTATGATTGGTAGTAAAAGTTCAACGATTGTTAATAAACAATTAATAAATAAATAAACAATTTTTACAAAAAAAAAAATTATTTTCCTGAGTGCTAGCTTAAAAATTGTTGTGCATCAAAAATTCTTTTTTCCCTCTAATTCTAAACTCATGCTGATGATTGGTAGTAAAAATTCAACGATTGTTAATAAACAATTCATAAATAAATAAACAATTTTTACAAAAAAAAAAATTTATTTCCTGCCTGCTAGCTTAAAAATTGTTGTGCATGAGAAATTCTTTTTTCCCTCTAATTCTTAGCTTATGCTTATGATTGGTATTGAATATTAAACGATTGTTAATAAACAATTCATAAATAAATAAACAGTTTTTACAAAAAAAAAATTTATTTCCTGCGTGCTAGCTTAAAAATTGTTGTGCATCAAAAATTCTTTTTTCCCTCTAATTCCAAACTTATGCTTATGATTGGTAGTAAAAGTTCAACGATTGTTAATAAACAATTAATAAATAAATAAACAATTTTTACAAAAAAAAAAATTATTTTCCTGAGTGCTAGCTTAAAAATTGTTGTGCATCAAAAATTCTTTTTTCCCTCTAATTCTAAACTCATGCTGATGATTGGTAGTAAAAATTCAACGATTGTTAATAAACAATTCATAAATAAATAAACAATTTTTACAAAAAAAAAAATTTATTTCCTGCCTGCTAGCTTAAAAATTGTTGTGCATGAGAAATTCTTTTTTTCCTCTAATTCTTAGCTTATGCTTATGATTGGTAGTAAAAGTTCAACGATTGTTAATAAACAATTCATAAATAAATAAACAATTTTTACAAAAAAAAAAATTATTTTCCTGAGTGCTAGCTTAAAAATTGTTGAGCATGAGAAATTCTTTTTTCCCTCTAATTCTTAGCTTATGCTTATGATTGGTATTGAATATTAAACGATTGTTAATAAACAATTCATTAATAAATAAACAATTTTTACAAAAAAAAAAAATTTATTTCCTGCGTGCTAGCTTAAAAATTGTTGTGCATCAAAAATTCTTTTTTCCCTCTAATTCTAAACTTATGCTTATGATTGGTAGTAAAAGTTCAACGATTGTTAATAAACAATTAATAAATAAATAAACAATTTTTACAAAAAAAAATATTATTTTCCTGAGTGCTAGCTTAAAAATTGTTGTGCATCAAAAATTCTTTTTTCCCTCTAATTCTAAACTTATGCTTATGATTGGTAGTAAAAGTTCAACGATTGTTAATAAACAATTCATAAATAAATAAACAATTTTTTCAAAAAAAAATTATTTTCCTGAGTGCTAGCTTAAAAATTGTTGAGCATCAAAAATTCTTTTTTCCCTCTAATTCTAAACTTATGCTGATGATTGGTAGTAAAAATTCAACGATTGTTAATAAACAATTCATAAATAAATAAACAATTTTTACAAAAAAAAAAATTTATTTCCTGCGTGCTAGCTTAAAAATTGTTGTGCATCAAAAATTCTTTTTTCCCTCTAATTATTAACTTATGCTGATGATTGGTAGTAAAAATTCAACGATTGTTAATAAACAATTCATAAATAAATAAACAATTTTTTCAAAAAAAAATTATTTTCCTGAGTGCTATTTTTAAAATTGTTGTGCATAAAAAATTCTTTTTTCTCTCTAATTCTTGGCTTATGCTGATGATTTCTATTTATGATTTTTTGGAAAAGAATAATGTATTTTTTGTAATGAATATTTATTTAAATAATTTATTCGTAATAGCTTATATCCTATGATGAATGGCATATAATTTTTGTAATTTAAATTATATTTTATTCTAAGTATATTCTGATCCTATCATTTTTTGTATCTATTCTCACTTTATAAAACAATATTATCTTTATTGTTAGTATAACTCACAATGAAATATTACTATTTTTAATTATAGGTAATTTTAATTCTAATTGCTTTTTGGTCAATTTTAGTTTTACATTGTTATCCTTCTACGAATTCTAAACATTTTTATAGTATAGAGTCGATGTTCATAATAAAGTTGTTTTGTATATGCTATTAAATTATTTAAACAAAAATTTAGTTAAAATTAAATTTAGTAAATATACATTAACATTACAATATATGTACCTTATTGTAATCAAGTTATTAGAAAGCCATATTTTAATTATATTTATCTAGTTTAGCTAATTTGAGCGTTAAAAAATGAAGTTTTGTAAATATTTCCTTATGTTCTTTAATGTTTCTCTTATGGTAATATCACCAGTTTTGTTTTATAAGTATATTTTTCAGTAAATATGCATTAACATTATAATACTTTATAGTAAGAATTTGTCGATTGCTTTAATTCTTACTGAATTTGTATTGCAAACAATTTTTTAAATATATACTTTAAGGAACTGTACATTAACATTGAAATATAATTTTATATGTTGTAAAAATATTGCGAACTTTAATGGTAGACTTCCCAACACAGTCCGCTGAACCGGCGTTGGAGTGTACTTATATTTTTATATAAAATATAATCAAATGTAATAATGTAATATAAGCGAACACTACTGGTGTGCCTATATTTTTCTGGGCTTGACAACTTTTTTCAGTGTATTAATTATTTATTAAATCATTATTGTTCGCTTTTAATATAAATTGCTGCTGCTGGCAATTCTGCTCCTTTTCTGTCGCAATAAGTTACTTTTGTACTACAGTCGTTATATAATTCCCACCTACCATTTAATCTTTTGCATCTTGCCATATAGTGATCTTCATGATGTGTTATAACTCCTCCTAGCCTAAAAGAAAATATAATTATGTATATAAAGATTATAAATTTTTATTATATTCCAGGTATTGTATTTTAAAAATGAAATAATTTCATTATATGAAAATTACAGATTTACTTTGTTTAGGAAATTATTAGAAAATGTTTTAATGACCTGGGTAATTATTTTTCTATATACATAGGGTGATTATAAGTAAAACGAACCTTAGAATTGTTCCCTGCAAGTTTATCTGTAGAGGCAAATCTTCCATCTTGCAAGTCAATGATTTAGTAATGTCTTTGGTTGCTCTTGCATCCAATTCGATGAAGACATGAGCATTTATTGTTAATCTAGTAGAAATGTTGAATCCGCAATTGTCTTTTTGGCAGAGGGAAGGATTTCTTTCTGTGTGGGTGATAATAGCATTTTGCAGATTTTTAAATCCTTCTTGTTCAATAATTCTGTGATTTATATAGATGGAAGGGATTTCTTCAATCTTGCAATGACCACATGTATAAAACATTGTCAGGTAGATGCTGGGTTCAGATCGCATAAGGAATTCTCACATTTCCGTTACATTACAGAAACAATTTATTGTTTGTAACATACGTGGCATTTCTTTAAATTTTAACATTAATTTACTTTGTTTTTCTGAACTTGCCTGGAAATCCTTCAATATGCAACATCTCAAACCATAAACATGATTTACTGCTCCATATTCGAGAAATACTAAAACAAATCCGAATGTCTCATTCAATGATTGTTCAATGTTCCTTAAGTAATGTGGATTATCAATTGCTGCACATGTTATTATTTGTATAATTGAATCAAATGCACATGTGTTTAAAATCATAAATTTCTTCTGATTAAAGATGATTGGTTGTGAAAACTTATTGCCATTAAGCAATAAAGGTTTTTTAATGTTTATTTTTGCAGCAGCGATAGCTGCATTTTGTGTTAACATTATGTTAGGACATTTTCTGAAGAACTTCGAGGGTTTCCTTTCTTTAATTTCTATCTTCCTTTTCTTTGACACTTTTTGCTCTATTATTTTATCAATTTTTGATTCCTTGACAATTACAGCGCTTGGTTCCATAAACTTCAACGGTTCTTTCTCTGCAGTATCTACTTCTCCTTTTATAGAATGCTTTTGATCTAAAGTTTTGGCCAATTTTAAGTCAGTGACAACAATTTCAAAATCAGATGTTTGCTTTTCCTCAACTGCCTTATTTTTCCAATTTTCAAAAGCAAACAAATCTTTATTTACTATTTCAACTGGAATATTTGTTGCAACATCGATTTCCAGATCAAGAGCCGTACTTTGATGCTTTGGAAGAAAAGTGAAATTTTCATCAAAACTTTCAATTTCTTCGTTATCTTCATGTACTGGTGAGTTTACGGTGACATTTCCTCCAAGTTCTTCGTTATCTTCATGTACTGATGAGTTTATGGTGACTATTCTTTCAAGTTCTTTGTTATTTTCATGTATTTGTGAGTCTACGGTGACATTTTTTTCAAGTTCTTCGTTATCTTCATGTACTGATGAGTTTATGGTGAAATTTCTTTCAAGTTCTTCGTTATCTTCATGTACTGATGAGTTTATGGTGACATTTCTTTCAAGTTCTTTGTTATCTTCATGTACTGGAGAGTTGACGGTGACATTTTCTTCATTTTGTATTTCTATTGTTGTTAATTCTGTTTTTTGAGTATTAAGATCAAGCAATGAGGTTCCCATCTGAATTTTTGCAATTTCTGCTGCTGCAATTAAGCATTGTGCTTTCGATGATCCGAAGTCGAATTTAAAAAATTTGTCACAACGAATTGCTCCATGGACATTATTTAAAACGTTGTTCTTGAGTTCACTGAAGGCACTTTCGACATAACAGCTCGTGGGTCGAATATAAGGAGATGAAAAATCCTTCCTATTTACCGATGTCCACAACGGAAACTCTTTGGATAACTCGAAAATATGGTTGAAAAATTTCGGCATATAATAAGCATTGGCCTCTTCGTGTTTTTTGTTTTTGTCAACTTCAGCTTTTTCTTTCAAATTTGTTAACCACATTAAAATATTGGCATCTACGTCCGCCTGTTGATGAATAAAACACTGGGGATTATTTGGATCAAGTCCAGAGGCAATAAGCTTTTTCGAACTCTGTTGGAATTCCTCACTTTTTTCGTCTGGAATGAGTTTGAACGCTCGATGTTCTTCCGTTGACATTATGTTTAAGAGCTTCAGTCTTGCAGTTTTAGCTGGAGAATGTGCAGTACTTTTTAAACAATTCCCATCGTACTGATGAATCGATACGATAAATGTGCAAAGCAAAATATCTTGGAATTGATCGAAATCATCGCAAGATATCATCAATGCTACACATTGTATGAGAAAGTCCTTGACTGCTTTACTGCACTTAGTAAAACACTTTAGCCGACAGAATATTTGGATAAGATGTGCCACATCAACTCGAATATATGTTTTTATATCCCTCTGCTTATTATTTTTTTCTGATGTTGCAAATTCAAAACATTTTGTTATGTATGCTTTGAGTGTCATAGTATTGAAAGATAACATCATTGCTCCCAATAACGCTTTTGAATAGTCGCTCACAGCTTCCCTAGGAACAGTTTTCATACACTTTACCCAGTTCAGTAACCAGTATGCAATATTAACTGTATCCTGAGCAGCTGAAAGCATTTGACCCACACTAAGCGTTATATTATTGAAGTTTATCACAATTCGATAATAAAAAATCGTTGGCGACGTAATATTGTCAGGCAAGTCTATTTTTGTAACCAGGCTACTTGTAGCGTCTACACAAACTGTTGATGCATCTCCAGAAAGACGGTTGTATTCTTTAAAAACAAAGATTTGCTCTGGAATGAGATATTGTAACTGAAATTTACTTGCAGATATGTGTTTAATTGATCCGAAATAAGGAGTCCTGTTTTGCAATTTCAATAAAATAGTTATGGGATCAGTACCGTCTTTAGGATTGATGTTTAATTCCTTATCTCTTAGCTCCTGCAAAACTTTCCTTAATACTTCATTCTTATAAAGATTTGGAGCTGGAAAGTCACCAATGTTCTGCATCTCTAAAGCAATTTGTCGACGGGTGTTAGCTGCGCCATGCTTTAAAACAATTTGGCCTATAGCCTTTCTTTTTTCGAACCGTAACTGTCGTTTAACTTCCTCGTGTTGTACTAATCGTGTATCGATACACTTAACTTGGAGCCATAAATCGGAATTCTCAATCGGTTTCGATTTAGCGACAGCAAAGAAATTATTGTTGCACTTATTGCTTTTGCATTTTCCAACAATAGTAATAAATGGTGTATTAGTATTCTCAGATGTTTGAGAAACAAAATGTTTTTTGAAGGAAAATGCACATGGCATTCTATACTGTTTCCAAAACTCGTCAGCTATTACATCGGACCATACTCCGGGAGGAAGTACCAACACTACTCGACCATTATAATTTTTTTCGACAGGCTGGATTTTATTCCAGATTTCCTTCTGAATCACGAAGTCGAAAAATTCTTCTCCATCTAACAATGGCGTAGAGAACAATGATGAACCATTTAAATTTTCATTTGACTTTTCATCCGGTTCCGATGGATCATCACTGGGTTCTAACGAATCAGTGCACAATTCTCTTTTCTCATAGATGTTTTCTATCCCCAATTTTTCAAAAACCTTCGTCCGCAATTGTCTTCTATTTTCTCTCAAATTTATATAAACGTCATGTCGAGTCCATTTATTCTGTAAACAAGCTGAAACTTTCGTGTAGAACTCATTTGTATATGGTGGTAATTTTTCACATCTCAATTCATCTCCATAAATGCAAATAGCATCAACAGCTTCCGAAACGTCAACTTTAGCTTGTCGAGGCATCTACGAAAATAAAAACAATTATAAATTATATTTGTGTTATATAAAGAATACTTATTTTAAATTTACGTATTAAATTATTAGTATAGACTTCTATTTCTTAAAATTTAAGTTTCAAATTAATTTTTTTCTATTAACAGCATATGATTGTTAGGTTCTCAATAGTAATTTTTTCGACTACTTTTTTCTTTGAATATTTAATAAATTGAGCTAAAATTTTGTATGAAAGTCATATATAATAATAAACAAGGGCAGTGATGTGCAAAATTTTAAATATCTTTAAAATTAACTATTACATATTACTTTAAAATCATCAGTTGTCACAGTCACTTCTAATCAATTTTTCTTTTTTACCGATTTCAAAGTGTTTTATTATAATTTATTTTTAAATTATAAAAACTTTCGCACATCACTGCCCTTCTTTATTATATTTTAGACTTTCTTACAAAATTTCAGCTCAATTTATTAAATATTTAAAGAGAAAAGTGGTCGAAAATATGACCATTGAATTTCTAACAGTTACATACAGTTAATGTACGTTCGAAATAAAATTTTTTTTACATGTATTTACCATTAAAAAATTGAGTTGAGTAAAGGCATGTTTTTATAATATTGCAAAAGAATTGTTTAATGTTGCAGAAAAAAATTTTTGAACTTTGGCTAATTATACGAGTTTTCAAAGTTTTTATGAAACTGAAGATACCAACGTTTTTTCAACGTAAATTTTTACTTTCAGTAATTATTTACTTTACACTGAAAAAAAATTAATTAATTTAAATATCAATTAAATATTTACTTGAATCAAATAATATTTATTAAAAGCAATTAAATGGTATTTGAACCAATAATTTCAGTATTAGAATCAAATACCAATTAATTTACTCCAATAAATATGATTTGATTCGAATAAATATTTAATTGATAATAGTCAATAATAATTAATAGTAATTAATAGTAATTAATCGATTATTTGAATCAATTAGATTTTTTTCAGTGTAATGTTAAAAGTCGGGGAAAGCAATAACATATATTTTTTGTCACGGATTTTTCAACAATCCCAGAAATTCTAGAATTTTTGGAAAACCCACAACAAAAATTTCAAATATTTTATTTTTTTGAAAAATTTGAAAGAGAAAATTTTTCAAATGACTTCCACTATTGAAATAAATATTTAGCAAAAGAAAAAAAAATTTCTGAGGCATGGAAATGATAATTTAGCTAGTCGCAAATAATAATTAGGTTGACCTGTCTTCATTTAACCAAATTTCAATAGTTCTCTATCTCAAAATCAAATAAATCGATCATATATTTAAACAAATTATGTGTTTTCTTAAGAGAATATGTTTTTCAAGAAATAAGCGGATTATACATAAGTTGTTATACATCACAAAGTTTGCAGCAACCTCGTGTCAAAATAAAAAAAATTACCTCTAGATTCAAGTATACATTGCAAACTTGCAAAAAAATGGAAATGCTAGTTGTACCTCACAAAAAAAAATAAGTTCCCCATTCGATATCAGTTAATTTATTATAAAATATAAAATTATCTTTACAAAAATTACCTTGCAAATGTTGAGTAGTGTCAATTCTGTAAGCTACATGACAGATGTCCAAGTGTAGAACGCACTAAACAGGTTAGAAATCTACAAATTCCATAAAAGTACATTAGAATTTGAAAAAATGATATACAAACAGACTAAAGCAATAAGTTTGATTCAATTATTAAATTTAATATACTTACTGGAAACAAGCAATAAAAATT